CTTTTATATGCCTCATCACAAATAAGTGTGTTTATCTACTGTGGGTTTGCTTTATTTTAATAGTGTCTGCTATTTGTTCTTTGGGGATCCTTTAGGTCAGTGGTTCTCAACCTGGGGGTCGGGACCCTGAGGGGGGTCGTGAGGGGGTGTCAGAGGGGTCGCCAAAGACCATCAGAAAGCACAGCATTTTCTGTTGGTCATGGGGGTTCTGTGTGGGAAGCTTGGCCCAATTCTATCGTTGGTGWGGTTCAGAATAGTCCTTGATTGTAGGTGAACTATGAATCCCAGCAAATACAACTCCCAAATGTCAAGGTCTATTTCCCCCAAACTCTACTAGTGTTCACATTTGGGCATATTGAGTATTTGTGCCATGTTTGGTCAAGATACATCATTGTTTGAGACCCCAGTGCTCTCAGAATGTAGGTGAACTACAACTCCAAAAACTCAAGGTCAGTGCCCACCAAACCCTTRCAGTATTTTCTCTTGGTCATGYGAGTTATGTGTGCCAGGTTTGGTTCAATTCCATCATTTGTGGAGTCCAGAATGCTCATTGATTGTAGGTGAACTATAAATCCCAGCAACTACAACTCCCAAATGACAAAATCAACCCAKCCCCCACCCCCCACCAGTATTCAAATTTGGGCATATCGGGTATTTGTGCCAAATTTGGTCCAGTGAATGAAAATACATCCTGCATATCAGATATTCATATGATGATACATAATAGTTGCAAAATTACAGTTATGAAGTAGCAATGGAAAAAATGTTATGGTTGGGGGTCAACACAGCATGACGAACTGTATTAAGGGGTCACGGCATTAGGAAGGTTGAGGACCACTGCTTTAGGTGTTTACTCTCTGCTGGATTTCACAGGTGACCCAGAAAAGGGGTGTTGTATTTAAAGCAGGATGATTTTTGGCCCTTGCTGAATTTGTCAACTTTAATAATTTTGTGTCTAAAGCACTGCATAAATAAGTATAAAAATGATAAAATAGAGGGAGCACAAGTGGCTAAATAATTTTAGACCAAAAACAGGCAACAGCAACCACATTGTCTGTATTTATGCAATGCTTTTGACACAAAATAAAGTTTTCCAATTTGTCAACTGGAAAACTCTTGTGAATTATGTAGAATTATGATAGAAGGAGTTACAGCCAATCAGGACAGACTAAGCTGTAAGACTTTAGTGTAGAACAGCATGGTGTGAATATCCAAGGAAAATGCATCCTAAACAGAATATTGTTCAACAAGGTCACATCAAACCAGCTGCATTCTGTGTGCATGTAGGCTGCAGAAAACTTTCCTCCAATCAGCCTGTTACATACTTAATCCCATTACTTCAAATCCATTGAAAATAAGCACCAAGAAAATAAAAAGAGCGCTTTAAAATCCAAATCCAGGAGAAAGTATATGAAGAAAAGCCATATTTAGGAATGGAAGAAGATGATCTCCAGCAAAATATCCCTAGGGTACAATTACCTTACATTTTAAGATTTATTTATATAAAATCGATGCCTTTCTTGCTGGTCTGTCTTGATGAAACTCCTTAGTTGATTGCATATCCATTTTAAAAGGCATTTGTAAGATGTGTCATCACTTACCAAAGAATAATAACATAGATTTAATATTAAGCTATCATAAAAGAAGGGCATCGAAGATATGCTATCAATTGCACTGTGAATGTTTTTATTTTGATTTATGCCCTTCCTTTCTTCTAATAATCATAAGCTATTTTTCCAGGGGCTCCTTCTCCCTCCTTTTCTCTTCAAAGAATCCTATGAAATAGGTCAGGCTGAAAGATTGCCTGGCTCAGGATCACTTCCAGTGAATTTATGGGCTCCATGAGGAATAATACCTGGATCTCCCAAGTCCCAGTCCAGCTCTCAAACCATTATACTTCATACTGCATGGCAATTTCCTCTTTTCTACTACTACTCAACAAACAATTAAATAGTGGTAGATCCGTGTAGGGATTACATAATTGTTTGAAAACATGGAATTTGTCCCTAATCTCGAGACACTGGAAGAAAGTGATGGTTAGAATCAATGTGTAGTGTGATGGCATGAGAAAGAAATTATCTAACCAACATGTGTCTTATAAGTAGAATCTTTGACAGATTTTTAAAAATGATACAGCATAGCTCTTCTTCTTATAAATGGTCTTTCTCTTCAGAAGACTCAAAAACTTTCCCTTATCAAATTATTGTCACTAAGGATTGCGATTCAGTGAGATCTCCAAACCCCACACCTAATTGGAGGTCCCAGTCATAAATTACAACATCTATGTGTATGTGTGCACTTCTAGTTAGCAAATGAGAATAATTGGCAATGTCTGCCTTCCTTTCTTGGTTTAATGATTTATATATATTTACATTATCATACTTCATATGATTAGTACAGTATTTCTTGTTTCAACTCAAAGATCACACAATGAGTTACAAAGGAAGAAACGGCCCTTTTCAGCATCAAAGGGATGGGATGGGGTGGGATAGGATGGTGGACCTTATCACACTTGGGGTTTTCGTCCCTTGCTACACTTTGGGAATGGGTCCTGCCGAGCGCCCTTACATGATGTTGGCTTGGCCCCACCCTACTTGCCCATGACAGAAAGGTAAGCGGATTTGGGGGAGGGGTCTCCCATGTGATGGGGAAAGGGAAATGCACATTGCCACTCTTTCCCTCATCTTATGGGGACAAGGTGCTAATGTGACTGCTGGCAAAACAAAACAAAATTGGGGGAGGGGGTAGGTTAGTGTGAAAAGATTTTATGTCTCACAGCAAAGCAAGATCTGAAGGAGAGTTCATCAGGCAGTTCGTTGTCTTATTTTATCTGAATCATTCCCACTAGCAGTCCATTTCAGTCTAGTTCTCCAACTATGCTACTTTCTAAACATGAAGCATAGCCACAATTAAAAAGGAGAAGGATTCCATGAAGAGTTCACCACCACTTCTTCATCTACCTGCCCAACATTTCTCTGCTGCAAATCTATAACCAAAGCTTGAGTTTAAATGCTCATTAAGATTTGTTTCCTTTGTGACCACCACTGCCCACCCCCCCACCCCCGTCACACAAGTGTAAGGATTCTCTGATGGCCCCTAGAACACACCACAACTCCCAACTCTTAAGTGACAATGCAAATAAAACCTACTTTATGTGATCATTGCTAAGAGTACTGAGATAATATATGTGTTATGGTCCTGAACACTCCTCATGTCTATGTAAATACTCTAGCACTATGGTTATGATTAAAAATAAGATTGTGCCTGAGGATGTTCCAGCAGTGTTATGCAACACTATCATTTACTAAAAGTAATATTTTTAAAAATGGGCACAGAATGAAAATAATTGTAGGTAAAGACGAGGCATATTCACATTTTTACAAAGACCATGTTCTGTTTCTTAGCTGCTCACATAAGACACCTGCACCAACTATATAATGAGCCACTTCCTGCTCTGGTTTTGGTGGCCTCAGCAGAAAAATGCAAGACTGTGAGGGAGAAGGACTGTTGCAGGGGTAGTCCTTTCAGATCATATCAGAACCTTGTTAGCAGGAAATGGTAAGAAAAGTTTTCTCTCCCTATCCTGGCAGCATCTACTGCAGTCATACAAGCCAAAAGAGCAACTGAGTCTATGAGATGTGTTTGTAATCTGCACATTTCACCCACTGGAATGCACTATTAGAAACTAGATGCACAATTATATTAACAATTTATGTATATTGATAACTCGTTCTGCTCTGTAAATATATGTTTGCTATTATGCACTAATGATTAACAGAAATACATTTTTGCATCCTGGCCATCGCTATTGACATCCCTGACAGTTTTAGTGCATTTTGTATGATCCCCTTCCCCAAGAGCACAAGTTCTGAAATTTGTGAGGATAGATAACTATTCCCATATCAATAGTTATATTCCAAAATACACTTTTATTCCAAGATATTAAGCTGCATTTATACTACATTCAGAGTTGTTTTCTACCAGCTTAATTGGATACTTCCACTGTTCGATCTGTTGTTCACTCGTGATCTGAACATTGTTGCATGTCAGTAACTTCACAACTAAGCTTTGTCTTTGTGAAACAATTTGAAAACTTGATTGTATTCATCATTATGTTTTGCGTATGGAAACATTGTTCTTACAACAAAGATTAAGTTCTCAAAACATCAATGGTTTTTCCACAAAAAACTGATACCTGTAGCCCCATGTGTTAGGTGAGACATGGGGTTCTCTTTCTGTATATATGGGGTGAAGCAAGCTAGGTGGATGGAGCTCTTTGGCCATTGCCCTCCAATTATGTTTTGTAGTCAGCTGGCTGAGAATAATGGATCTTCCAATCTAATGCATCTGGAGGATACAGGATTGATACAATATTGTTGATTACAATATTTGGGTGATGATATTAGCTGACTCTGGTTTGGTGAAACCAGGGTTTTCAGGGAGACTGCCTTGCTTAGCTTTTGTTTCTTTGGCTATTTGACTTGACTGTGCTGATAGTTGATTTCAGGATTGTGACAACATCAGTGCAGAATGAACAGAAGATTGGCCAATGTAATATGACCCTAAGACTGAATGGCAATACAATGGATAAACATTCTCATTGGGACTGGTTGGTCAAGGTTGCCACCGGAAGATGATGCTAAAGTGTCTACTGTGGATGTTGGCATTATCTTCCATTGGAAATTTTGAACAATCATAGTAGACAGATCCAACTAAATTATAGCTTTGTCTCCATCCTCCTCCCTTGCAAAGACACAGTATCATAATTCCTTAACAATTCACTTCAGTGAACAATAATCTATCCTAAAGATTTAGTAAGCTTCTACTCTGTCATATTTCATTCCCTTCTTAGGGGAGGGTGGTGTCTGTACCACAAATGGGGAAACAATTGGAGTACAAGTTCAATCGATGCAGTTTAAGCAACTGGATAGTATTATTTTAGTTCTCAACAGCTGTTATAAACAATGCCCTATCCCTTCTGGTTTATCCCTATTACACAGAAGGCAATATGGAAGCCATGGCAAAGTTTGATTTCAGTGCCTCAGGAGAAGATGAACTGAGTTTTCGTACTGGAGATGTTTTGAAGGTAAGTGCCAAGCGAGGATTTACTGAAGTATTTTTTCCATTAGCACTGTAAAATTCTGCTACTTTGTTATGTCCTTGTAATAACTGTCCATCCTACAAGCCAGGAAGTGTGAATTGGCTCTTAAACTGGCAACTGTAAGTTAGAGATTCACTGATAATTGCCAGGTTACAAAAGAATTATTTTTTTCTCTTCCAGTATTTTAATTTGCATTTTAAAGATGAGCAAGAAAAACAACATGTTTTCCTTAGATGTCAAGTGGTGGGTGATGTAATTGCAAACCATTGTAAAGGTATTGAAAAGGTAGTCTTTTTAGGACATTTTCCAGGGGAAGTGACAAACAAGCAATATATAAAAATGTCTTGTTCATCCATATTCCTAGTACTCATATGGAATACCAGCATCATAAATGTGATATATTCTTTCACATATAGTTGGAGCATGTGAAGGGGTTTTTGAGAGGCAATATTGGACACATTGTTGAGATGTGTCCAGTACCAATAATGTGTCCAATAGATTAAAGAGCTAGAAAAGGTCAAGCCCACTAAACCCTTTTTTCCTAAACTACTCTCTCTCTCTCTCTCTCCTTATAGATATATACACAAATCCGCTTCTTTAACACTCGTTTTACATTCACCAGTTCTCTGGAACTGGTTTCATTGAAGCTCATCACACTAGAGAATGAATCCACCTTAAATCTGGTTTCTGCCTCTTGCAGAATTCTGGGGTTTGTAGTTTGGGGAGGAACCTTTAACAGTCTTCCTAATCTACAAACCCCAGAATTCTGCAGAAGGCAAAAACCAGATTTAAGGTGGATTCATTCTCTAGTGTGATGAAGTAGAAATAAACCAAGACCTAAACAAAGACTTTGTTTAGTATTGTATTATACTTTTTTTGCTTTTAACTTGGTTTAGTAACCACAAGAATATCATAATAAAATAGACATTAAAATGTTAATGAGTTTCCTGATGTGAGTATTGATCCATGAAAATATGTGAAAATGAAGTTGAGTTTTATTATTTAAAAGCAGCCATTGGTGTGGGTAATATAGCTGGTGCCTAGCTGCACAAATCTTTACTACACAGATTGACAGTTTGGCTTGCAGCAATGTAAACATTTGCATAAATATTAATTTGTGTTTATTCTTGTGAAGAAGAAAATCAAGAAAAGAATGTATATGCTGATTGTAAATAAACAGAAAGGGTTTTCTTTTGCTTGATTCTTTTTGGTAATCATATCTGTCTGGTCTAAATACCCTCAAGGCACTGGATCCTATCTTATTATGGAAGCTAAGCAAGGTCAGCCCTGGTTAATACTTTGATAGAAAATCACCACGTGCTGTAGGTTATATTTCAGAGGAAGGTCTTCGCAAAACCACCTCTGAGTATTTCTTACCTAAGAAAACTCTGAAATTAATGGGGTTGCCATAGGTCAATACACATAGAATCATAGAATTGGAGGAGAGTTTGTGGGCCATCCAGTCCAATCCCCTGCCAAGAAGCAGGAAAATCGCATTCAAAGCACCCCCGAAAGATGACCATCCAGCCTCTGTTTAAAAGCCTCCACCACACTCCGGGGCAGAGAGTTCCACTGCTGAACATCTCTCACAGTTAGGAAGTTCTTTGTAATGTTCAGGTGGAATCTCCTTTCCTGTAGTTTGAAGGTACAAAACTTGAAGGTACATACGCACAATTTACATCTGTAGAAGAAACTTTAAAGGTTTCCAAACTAGAGTTCTTCCAGAAAGACCCAATGTGTCAGATGTTGGTGATAATAGTAACTGTACTTTCCTTTTTAAGACATCCATATTATCTAGATGCCTGAAGTGCAAAGTTTGAGGGTATTTCTCCTTCTTTTCTCCAATGTTCTCAAGTATTTTTCCCTCTCTCATAAGCAAGGTCTTTTTTTCAAACTGATATATTTGTTCTTATAGGGGTTTTTTCCATGTCAGGAGCACCTTGAGAAACTGTAAATTGCTTCTGGTGTGAAAGAATTGGCCGTCTGCAAGGACCAGGGATGTCCGGATATTTGATGTTTTACTATCCTTGTGGGAGGCTTCTCTCATGTCTGCACATGGGGAGCTAGAGATGACAGAGGGAGCTCAAACCACTCTCCCTGGATTTGAACTGCTGACCTATCGTCCTGTCAGCACAAGGGTTTAACCCATTGTGCCACCGGGGCGGGGGTCATGTTCTTATAGTGAACTGTGAAGATCAAGGTCAGTACGTCCAATCTCATCTCTCCCTGTTTTTGGGATGTTCCCATCCTCTGCCCTATTTTTTCTCCACTCTTTTTTAGTGATTTAGAGATAAAGCAGTCGCCTCCTGTGCTGAGTATGATCCCTTCCCTCACACACACATTAGTCAACTTGGGCACCCAAGCAAAGCTTCCAGTGAATGCCCCCTTCTGTTCCCTTTTCCAGTCTTATACATTTCAATACTTTTAACTCTTTCTAGACCTTTGGCTGCTGTGTTTAGAAAGACCATCACCACTACCGACACTTTCATACAAGTCAGATACAACTTGACTTGGAGGTGCTCATGTTCCATCACACACAAAACACTCTGATAGACCAGCACATGAATATGCAAACATACTCTTCTGTATATCAGAATCTGTTAGTTTTCCTCCCTACCTCCCTAGAGTCAGTTGAAGGATTTATATTTGTCTGGTCTAGCGTACTAAAACAAAGCAACCCATTATAAACTTCACACAGACCTTTTAAAACCCTCTGTAAGATCTTCAGGACAGAACGCTTTCATCAAAGGCATATAGAAAGCCATGCTTCCGATACCATCACCATTTGAACAAGGCTGCAGGAATTTGGACAAAACTAACAAGGCCATTTTTCTAATACTCCTGTCTTGCTCCTAGCTTTAGTTCTTTGTTGAATGTACCTTTTTACCTGTGGCTTACAACTAAGAGCCTTGTTACCAGCAACTCCACAATGTCATAGTTTTTTTTCCTATCACCCCAAATCACTAAATATATTTCTGTTTCCTTTCTGTATTGTTTGTATTGACTTTGAAGTTTCTTTTTATATAGGACAGGGATACTTTATTTTTAGGTTTTCTATTTAGAAATCCAAGTTGGAATCTTCAACTTTATGTTCTGTGTCAGGAAAGTAAATCTACTATCTTCTCCGTACAGGCAGTTCCCAAACATCTGACTTACAAACGAGTCATAGTTAAGAACAGAGGTGAGACAACACGAAATGGGAGAAATCTGTTGCGCTGAACCAATTTGTTGCGCAGTAGCAATGTCCAACATGACCAAAACCCAATTCCAAAGAAACAGACCAATCAGAAGAAACAAAACAGTAGAGCTTTACTCTTGGTTGTAGAGTTGAAAACAAAACAGCTTGGCACACTTACATTGTCTCTGTAAGTAATACAGAGCAAATTTCTGTGTTATAAATTATAGAGCATAACAAAAGTACATAGTTACTTCACCATTGCATAAGCTTCTTGCATCTGCTCTCCAGCAAGTCAAACAGCTAACTGCTAACCATTTGCAAAAGCCTCAAAACTGTTACATTCAAGAGGCATGGCTCAGCCTTGCTTAGCTGAGTTAGTATTTCAGCTGCAGTTAATCACTAACACTTTGCAAGGATTTTCTGCAAGGCTTTCTTTAACACACACACACTGGACTTAAAGCAATATACCGTAATAAAATCTACCAATGGGAAGGGAAATTCACGCATGAAAGAGTTATCATGGGGAAACCAGAACCTCCCCCAAAACAATGTTGGCACAATTGTGGGAAAATAGGATTTTATATTCACATGTGGTGGGATTTTGAAAATATACAAAAGTTCCATAGAATAATTAGGAAGGAAATAGAGGTATTGTTAGAGATAAAAATAGACCGGAACAAGACACAATTTTTCCTACAGAAAATAGAAGGCGAAGGGGGATCCAAAGAATGGGTGGGATTAATAAATTACATATTAGATGCAATTAAAGCTTCTGTCACTTTAGGCTGGAAGGATAAAAAAATGGGACACAAAAATATGATATAAATATTTAGCGGACTACCTTCTCCAAGGCTACATTAGTGAAAGGAAAAGTTACTGCAGGATGGGCCATATCAAAAAGCTATGGGAGGCAAAATGGAAAGGCTTAGTTTACAGAATAAAGGAGAAAGAAAATATATAAGGAATTACATTATCCTCAGGATCGAACAAGCGTAATCAGTACAGCAACATTTGTAAACTGTTCCTGAGGAGGGGAGAGAAGGAGAAAGAGGAGAAATGATGTAAACACTTGTTACTAAGGGAAAATGTTTTGAATGTTTGTATAATGTTGTGTAGCACCATTCACAATAATTCTAAAAATAAAAAAAGGCAAAGGAAAACAATTGCTGCATTGCACACTGCACCATTGCAACAACAAAAAAAAAGCCAAGTGTAGACAGGATCAAAACCACATTATCTCCCTTTCCTTCCTGCTTCTTGCCACATCTCTCTGTCACACTCCCTTTCTATCTCTCCTCCATCTCTTCTTTATCTCTGTATGTCCACTACTCTCCTCCTCCCTACCTCTTTCCCATTGCATGTCTTCTTTCAAACATCAAGAAAGGAATCCCTTTCTCACAGCACAAGATGAGACATTTGAAGCAAGAAGTGATTGTTTACGGCACTGTTAGAAAACGCTATCCCTTCTTCAGCTGTCCTTGGAATAGCTGAGCAACAGGTTGTCAGAGGTAGAAAGTCGATTAAATCTTCACCTGCTACACAATATTGTTCTTGTGGTGGAGGCTTCCTCTTTGGAGGCTTTTAAACAGAGGCTGGATGTTCATCTGTTGGGGTTGCTTTGATTGCAATCTTCCTGCTTCTTGGCAGGGAGTTGAACTGGATGTCCCACAAGGTCTCTTCCAACTCAATAATTCTATGATTCCTCACTCCCCAGTGCATTGGTCATCTTATCATAGGAAAAAGTGAAGAAACATGGCAATTGAAGCTATGAGTACATGCAAGATATTGGTGAGAAATCAGAGATAAGTACAGTGGGCTGAATGGGAAGACCGGTTGACTGCATGCGGCCCACAACCAGTTAGGAGAGGAGCCTGTGGGCTTGGGGCAGAGATTTAAGAAGTTACTCCTGTAACTCCTATGCCAGCTGGGGCATTTAAGGAGCTATAGCCCAAAATGGTAGCTTTTTCCGTATTCTGGTTGAAGGTATGGAATTTCTGAAACTTAGGCAAGTGCCAAACCCCATGCATCTCATAAGTCAATACTAATTCTTCCTTTGATGTACAGATCTTAAGCTCTCAAGAAGAATGGTATAAGGCTGAGCTGAAAGGTTATGAAGGCTACATCCCAAAGAATTTCATAGATTTTCACATTCCAAAGTAAGTGCGATCTTATTTTAGATTTTATATTCAGTGTGAAGTGCTGAAAAAGAAGAATGGAAGAACTATGCCACAGCAGACCTATGAGCATGGCTTACCCTATATTCTTGCAATATACACATTCTCCCTCTGCCTAGCAGTATGGTAGAATGCATCAGTTAGTTACTGATGCTACCAAATGTAGTACTGGTTTCCAGTCCTCATCACAATTTGTTGCAGTCAGAATATGAAACATGGAATATATTTATTTATACAACATGGTTACAGAAGCTTGATACAATTTTGAGTGTAATGGTGCAATTCTATAGAATCCCAAGATTTGTAGATATGGTCCTTGGAATTCTAATAAAGGGTAAGTATTTCTTATCTGGAATTCCTAAAACCAAAATCCTCCAGTATTCAAAAAATGTCTACATGGGGGGGGAGGGGGGGGAGTTAGTGACACCTTTACTTTCTGATGATTAAGTGTTCACAAATTTGGTTCATGCACAAAACTATTAAAATATTGTGTATAACATATATCCATCCAAGCTATGTGTGCAAGCTATGTGTATAACATATATCCATCCAAGCTATGAAATAGCAATCCCACCTCTAAAATAACTCAGTTTGTACACATATGTAAAATCTAAAAAATGCAAACTACTTCGACTCCCAAATATTTGAGATAAGGGATACTCAATTTGTACTGTAATTCAGGGAATACACACAGAAACAACCTGGGAAAATTTAAGTGGTATTGGACTACTGTAACTATGTACTGTAGATATGATTTAGTGCTTTTGTGTGTGTGTCATGAACAACTTGAGAAACTGCAAGTCGCTTCTAGTGTGAGAGAATTGGCCATCTGCAAGGACATTGCCCAGGGGATGTCCAGATGTTTTACCATCCTGTGGGAGGCTTCTCTCATGTCCCCGCATGGGAAACTGGTGCTGACAGATGGCAGCTCATCCCATTCCCCAGATTCAAACCTCCAACCTTTCGGTTAGCAGTCCTGCCAGCACAAGGGTTTAACCCATTGCGCCACCTGGGGCTCCAATTTAATGCTGAATAGATCTGAATGAGCTTCATGGCTCAACCATTGGGCAAATCACACACCTCTCAGACTCAGAGGAAGGCAATTGCAAATTTCCTCTGAATAAATTTGAGCAAGTAAACCCTATTATAGGTTCTCCTTAGGGTCACCATTGGCTGGAAACAACTTGAAGGCACACGCCAACAGGGCTATATCCAAATCCAAACCAATTAATAGCCAAACTACATTACATCCTTTTTTAATCAAACGTCTCTTTTTGAGAAAGTTGCACCATAAAGAAAATATATGCCTGGCAGCTTGGTTTTAATAGGCAAGGTGTCTGGCAGTGTCAAGTTTCTAAATACTGTAATCATTTCCATATAGTTAACCTGAAACAGGTGTGATGAGAGCTGTTTTTTACAGCACTAGATTATCCTTAGTGTTATGCTGTGCCACTGCCACCTCCTGAAAGCAGTTGTCAAGAATAGTTCCATCTACTGGCAGCCAAAGTGTAAAAAAATGAATTTAGACCAATATAGGTTCAGTTGAGAAAAAAACAACTAAATGCACTGTTTCCTAATGAACCTGGATCTCTAAAAGAAACTATAAAACTGGAGTTGATTAAATTAAATGTACTAGAATGATTGGAAGTGGCTTTTTCTTTTTAAAAATATACCCAGAAAATGTTTGGTTTTTTTTTTTGCACATTCCCTGATGATGTCTATTTGAAGGAGATCTCACAGTTTTCTATTAGAGGTGATTGTATTTTTTTTATTATTTTTTTATTTACTACATTTCTATCCCGCTCTTCTTGCTCCGAGGGGGACTCAGAGTGGCTTTCTAATAAGACAAAATACAATGCCACGTTATAAATGCAATAGACAAAAACATAATATAAAGCGATAAAACCAATAAAACATATAAATACAATTAATCCACATTAAAACATAATGCCCAGTCCCAAGTAGTTATTCGTGGTGCTGCACTTAAGTCAAGTTCCATATTGCGTATTCCATATTCCATATTGCACTACTGCCTGACGCCTGATTCCAGAGCCAGGTCTTTCTAAACATCAGGAGGGAGGGAGCCAATCTGATGTCACTGGGCAGGGCCTAGTTCCATAGCCGGGAGGGCCACCTCTGAGGAGGCTCTGTCTCTTGTCCCCACCAGTTGTACTTGTGAGGGAGGAGGAATCAAGGTCAGGGCCTCCCCAGAAGACAGTAGTACTCTAGATGGTTTAGAGGGGGAGATACATTTGGACAGGTAAGTTGGCCAGAACCATTTGTACTTCGTGTTGTTACCATTAGGAAGATATATGAGTGAATGCATACATCTTTTGCACTGTACTGCTGATAGTTTTATTGCATGAAGCTAAATGTCTCTTCTAATAGTCTGACATGTGTGTCCAGGTAAATGTACAGCCATTGTATTTCATAATAGGAAAGGCATGCTTCCATTTTAATGTTCAGGGCATAGGGTTACAGCCTGTGTTGGATGGGGTTACACTCCCCCTGAAGACGCAGGTTCGCAGCTTGGGAGTGATCCTGGATTCATCACTGAGCCAAATCTCGGCGGTGGCCAGGGGAGCTTTTGCACAGTTAAAGCTTGTGCGCCAGCAGCGCCCATACCCTGGGAAGTCTGATCTGGCCATGGTGGTTCATACATCCCTAATAGATTACTGCAACGCACTCTACGTGGGGTTGCCTTTGAAGACTATTCAGAAACTCCAACTAGTCCAATGGGCAGCAGCCAGATTACTCACCGGAGTGCCATACAGGGAGCACACCACCCCCCTGCTATGTCAGCTCCAATGGCTGCTGGTCCATTTCCGAGCACAATTCAAAGTGCTGGTCTTGGCCTATAAAGCCCTATATGGTTCCAGTTCAGCTTACTTGTCTGAACATATCTCCCTCTATGTTCCACCTCGTAGTTGAAGATCTACTGGGGAGGCCCTGTTCTCAGTCCCACCGGCCTCACAAACGCGTCTGGTGGGGATGAGGGACAGGGCCTTCTCGGTGGTGACACCACCCCCCCCCCCCCCCCCCCCGCTTGTGGAATTCGCTCCCCAGCGAGATTAGATCGGCGTCCTCCCTCCTTTCTTTTAGGAAAAAGCTAAAATTGTGGTTTTGGAACCAGGCTTTCAGCTAGCTGGCACAGCAGCACTTTGAACATTAATCTGGAACATACAACTATTATGATAATTGGAAACAGCTATGTGATTATATAATTAATGTTACTGTTTTTAATCTGTTATGTATTTATGGTTTTATATTGTTGAGTATTGATTTTGTGGCATCGAATTGTTGCCTGTGTTAGCTGCTCTGAGTCGTCCCCCACCCGGGGGGGTTGAGAAGGGCGGGGTAGAAATGTTGTAAATAAATAAATAAATAAATAAAACTGCAAAAATGTAGTTTGACAGCAGTTTGATTTCTCACACCATCTCACCCACCTCCCACCATTCATATTAGAGTCTTGCTAGAGTCTTGTGAGAGTGATAATTTCTGCACAGAAAATGGTTTTTCCACCACAGAAAATGATGTAGTTTATGGCTTATTGTATGAAAAATTCATATTCGCCGTGTTTTGTACAGAAAAATGAATTTTCCTCAAATAAAATATCATTTTCAGTGCATAAAGTAATCATGACATTTTCTGTGCCAAAAGAATGCAAATTTTGCACACAATGCCCTCAGTCTAACATCCCCTTAGCATAGCATAAATACTCACATGTGGACATATGCCACAGCTGCACTGTGCAAATCCCAGGCAAAATAACAAAACCTCATAGGCCATGCCAATAACTAGGAATCATGGTGCAATGCACAATACTTGATGCTCAACTGCAATATGCAGTCACAACGCAGAATATAGGGTGCACAATTATACCATATATTGCACAATTTGCAAAGATTTATGTGTACATATGTCCATGGCCCCATCTTCACCGACCATTAAATGCAATTTCAAACCAGTATTAAAGAAAGTGGTTTTGCAATCCAGATGATTACATTGGAAATTCTGGAACCAGTTTGAGACCTGGGTGGTAATTACACAAACCACAGATGTGCATGGAGAGCTTTCTTTTGCACACTTTTGCAGGAGTTTGTTGCCTGGCTCCCTCAGTTTGAAGCTAGCTTCTAACAGCATTAAATAGTCAGTGTAGATGGGGCCCATACATGAACTCCAACTATCACATTCCAAACTTGTATAAACTTTGGAAATGAATTGGAATCAAGGAATCAAATCTTTTTCTGTAGCCGAGGAATGTTTTATAGAATGAGTCATGGGCATTTCTTCCCATTGTATTTGGTCTCTTTACCTGGCTTACTGCTAATCTTCTTTCTGATTTATTTTCCTTTCTCACCTGTTTCTCAATGCCAACTCCATTGATCTCTGTCAATGCTTGGCAGCTGGTTCCACGAAGGAGTGTCTCGTCATAAGGCTGAAAATATGCTCAAGGATAAGGTGGTGGGTGCTTTCATCGTTCGAGCGAGCCAGAACTCCCCAGGTGACTTCTCCATCTCTGTCAGGTACCTGCGACTTCTAATCTTCCTTTTTAGCACTAAAGAAAGATTGATGCAGTGAGAAGAGGTCTCCCACTTGCAGGCATCTAAAAATAGTATACTAAAAATAGTATACCTTTTTGTATCTATTTGCAAAAGATTCCCAAGTTATTTTCAATTACTTGTTTACCTTCAAAGATATATTGAGACGGTTTATAATATAAAATCTGCCCAATAAAATAATTCAGAAGACATTTTTCCAATCACCAGCTTAACCACCTTCTTATAACTTCACTAACACAAAGAAAATGTGTTATTCTTTTATCACAATTTATTGTGTTATTACTTATTTCTGTGGTACTTTTCTGAGTTTTAATACACCATATTGTAAATTCCATTTTGATTTTGTGGGAGGAGGATGTGTATAGAAATGTCTCACCTTGAAAAACTCAGATATAAGCCCTCTTGTGTTTAGCAGAGCTTATGATTAAATGAGCATGCTTAAGTTTGCAACCTAAAATTTCTAAAAATGAAACCACTGTTTTAAAATGGCAGAACGGTGCAAACAGCAGGGGCCAATGCAGAGCTTTTGAAACATTCTTATTTGACCTTTCAGATTATTAGCTCTGTTGCAGCAAAAGCCACAAAGCCTTAAAAACCACCCAGACTTTATGATATAAGCTTGGAAAGAACTCCAATCCGTGTCATCAATGGTGTGAAATGTCATCCCAAATTAGAAGATATGCATACTCAAAGTCGCTGGGAAGTGGAAATGGGAATTGTGAGCAGCGAGCCATGAAAAGTATCAACAAGTACATTAACTTCAGTGCAAAATGAGTCCATGGACCCCTCCCCAAACAGCAGTGATAATAAAACATATGGGGTTTGAAGCATCATATATTTTGTTCTTGAAGGCAAGAATTAATGTTATCATTTCCCTCCTCACTGTGAAAAAATTGTCAAAATTGTACAGTTTTCAAAGGAAATTCACACTTTAGAACATGTTCTAGGCTAAAAAATGCATGTGTGATATGTATCTTTGTGCACAGAAAACTACATTTCCTACATGGAAAATAATAGAAAATTGTGGTGGGTACCATGTGGAGGGGAGGGTGGGATTGGTGGCCGAATCTGCACCATTATTCAATGCTTTTTTAAAACCTCTGATTCTACTAATCTCTAGATCCTCTAGTGCAACTCTGTGGTTAACTTCCAATAGAATCATTCTGGAGGACATATAATTGTCTAGTTAATTCTTCTTTCTAGAAGTCTGTGGGTCCTCAAGTGTGACCCTATAATTGACTTCCACCAGACGTTGACCACAGAGTTATTCTGAATGCTCTAGAACAGTGGTTCTCAACCTGTGGGTCCCCATGTGTTTTGGCTTACAACTCCCAGAAATCCCACCAGCTGTTAGGATTTCTGGGAGTTGAAGGCCAAAATATACTGTTAGTGGCCCAAATATACTGTATTGCACCTGAAGAAGTAGGTTTATATCTACAAAAGCGCGTGCTAAAATAAGAACTATGTAAAGGTGTCACCACAATCCTTGGTTTTCCTCTTCCTCCATCCTTTTAAGCTGCAGGAAATAACACAGATACTTTGGAAACTTATTTTAAGATACAAAAAGATCATTAAAAATGCACAAATGCTCTTGAAATCATATCTAGAAAGTGAGTGGGAAGACTTCTGCAATTATTTGGTTTTGGTTTTGCACGTGAAGATGAAGTAAGCAGCTTCCCCGGTGATCTGTGAGAGTACTGTTGGTCCTATAAGTGATCCACTTCCGTGTGATCTAACTGGAAGAAAGGAAATGACGATCAAATCATATCTAAATTAGCAATCAGTCTAGAATAAAGGATGCAGATTTGAAGATCAGGGGCTTTCCCTCCTGTGTTTGGCAACACAGAAACTAAGAAAACCAGTTCCTCTCTTATCTTTAACTATGTCCAGTTATGTAAAAGGGCTATGATTCTTCCTTATTCAGGCTTTATAGTGGCAATTAGTCTGAATTCCCATACAGTGTATTGTAATGGCTTATTAGAATAAGAAATGCCAAGGACACATAGTTTGAAAATTATTTTTCTGGACAACAACTGCCAGAATCCACCTGTCAGCATGGCATGGCTCTACACGCTAGGGAAATAAAAGCTATACTTTCAGATTCTGAAGATATGTCATTGCCAACTTTGTCCTCTTTTATAGATGGGGAGAATTTAAAACAGCCTTGAGGGTTTATCTCATTTAACCAAAGAGGCAACTGGCTGATCATTTACCTCCTCACAGACTTATTGACCTTTGTTACTGGTTTGTTCCTTCAAGTCATTTCTGATTCTAAGGTGAAAACTTTCATGAGGTTTCCTTGACAAGAATTATTCAAAGAGGATTTATTTCACCTTCCTCTGAAGTTGAGAGGGTGTGACTTGCCCAGGGTTGCCCAGTAGATGTCCATGGCTGAGCAGGGAGTCAGGCCCTAGTTTCCAGAGTCATAGTCCAACATTCAAACCCCTGCATCTTCATGGGCCTCTCTGAAGAGCTCTAACCCCATCCAATTGGTCCTATCTCTCTCTTTGCAAATAGCACTGGGACAGGGGTATTTCCAGTTGGAAGAGACTATAGGAGGTGTTAAAGCCCCTCTTCCTACCTGGAATATGATACCTACCCACCTCTCAGAACTATGGCCCCAGTAATGGGAAGGTATGGCAGGCATTAGTATATTTATTTAACTAAAAAGCAACCAAGCAAATATTACAGTTGCTAAACCAGGAATTGGGGGGTGCAGTGAGTCTGGGGACCATTTTGTCGATGGCATCATATGGGAACCCACAGAGACAATTAATTAAGAAGTCCCCAAACTCAACCACTTCTGGTTTTGACTTACAACTTTTTTAAAAAAAAGTTAAAACAGTGCAGGTAGATGGATTAAAAGGTGAGTATGTTCTGGAGGATTTAAAAATAGACATTTCAAGCAAGTATCTTTGGGACAGGAGAAAGAAAAAGGGTTGTTCGGAGAGTTTGAAAAGATTTAGGGCTACCAAAAAAGGCCCAGTGAACCACATGTCATCTTTTAGGTCCACATTTTGTTTATTCCTGCCTTAATCACTTGAAATTTTAGTAACAAACACATTCTCACATGTACATGTCCCTTTCTAATTATAGTACAACATCCTTACAGACAGATTCTATTTTTACAGTTTCATTTACAATCTAAAAACTGTTCTTCCCAGAAGTATTTGAGGGCTTCCCAAAGATCCCCAGTGCAATTCTAATGTATGCTTCCATAGTATAGTCAAAATATAAAGTTTCCTATTATCCACAGTTTCAGGTAGCCACAGAGAACCTTGGAACAGATCCCCCACAGATACAAGGATTGTCTCGTATTGTTCATGCAAGATGAACAGCAGTAGTAAAATAGGGCCATTTTAAAATGACATAAGCGGAACTCTATTGCCAATACATTTTAATTTCCCCTCGATGTCCAGGAATGAAGTAGATGTCCAGCACTTTAAAGTGATGAAAGATGCAAAGGGCAACTACTTTTTGTGGAGTGAGAAGTTCCAGTCATTAAATGAGCTCGTGGAATACTACAAGACTGTTTCCATCTCCAAACATACACAGATCATCCTGCGAGAGGAAATTATGCAAGAAGAGCAGGTACCCTTAAGGATCTTTCTTTCTTTCTTTCCTTCTTTCTTTTTTATAATAGTCAAAGTGAAAAAGTTCAGAGTGTTGGTTTGGAGGCATGTCATTAGAAATTTTAATGAAGTGACTTTGGCTATGACATTGGCTAATTTATCAGCTTTTACATGGTCTGCTCCCACGGTATAATTACCCACCAATCTTATATGCTATTCTCAAGATCTTAATTAATTTGGTATCTTCTAATCAGCCTTTAATAAAACATCCAGCTAAGAACCACTTCTTCATTTTGAATCAGATATGGTCGTCTACCTGATTTTCCCTTCTAAATACACTAAAGGTACCAGATCCCATTTGATCTTGGTCTATCTCTGGTTAGTACTTGAATGGAAGGCCACCAGGTACTTTAGGCTATATTTCATAAGAAGACACTATCAAAACCACCTCTGAGTATTCCTTGCCTAAGAATACCATATGGAATTCATGGTATCACCATAGGTCAATAGCAACTTAAAGATGCACACAGACACATAGACATAGAATGAACACTCCTTTAAGCCCAGTTATGGCACAGTGTTTGCTAGAGATTACATAACCATATATTTGCATACATACTCATACACAGACGTTTCTCCCCAAACACATGTACAGACATTGCTTCCCCACCCACATAAGATTTAATCTCCCATCCATGTCTACTGAGATCTCAGGAGGTGAAAGACTCATTATGTTCTGATAGCTACCACAATTAGCTGCATGAAACAGCAATCTTGGAAATGAATGCTGTGGGCTGGACATGATTTTCACTCCTCCCACCCCTTAACACTCTTCAGAGATGATGGTGCTGCCTCAGTCTTGATACTACAATGTTCATGGTTTGCTTTTTGCGCACTCGCTGTTTCACAGGTTTTTGCCTCCTGGCAACGATGAAGTGTGGAAGGGCGTTTCACCCTCCCCCTCAGGAGAGAGGTAGCCAATCATAAAAACGAGAGAGAGGAGATACAAAGCAATACGTAAATCACAGCATTATAGCCCCTTCGTTATAGCTAGGTGTGCAGTGCCTTTAAATCTCTCCTCACTTCTGCCTCACCCCCAGAATGCGAGATAGATAAATATAGATATAGATATAGATATAGATATAGATATAGATATATATTGTGGGTGGTCCTGGAATGTAACACCAGTGATAAGTGAGGAAACATTGTATCTTAATTAAATAAATAAATAAATAAATAAATATCTTGCTAGGAAAACCCTCACTTCCTTAATGCTGGCCAAAAGCCCTGTTACCATATAGGTCTCTAAAGATTTTGTTAATTCGCTCCTATGTGATAGCATAAAGACACCCTATAGCAGGTTGTCCCATTTTCTATTGTCAACTGTTGGGAAGGTATACTCTCTCCCTCTGGAGGCCAGAACCGCCCCATCCATCCTAACATTTAGGAAACGGGTGAAGACGTGGCTGTGGAGTCAGGCCTTCAATGAATGAGACAACACCATAGGACCCTGGATAGAAGTTGATGTAGATCCATCTTAATAGGACGACTGACCACTGTAGTTTTATATATAGTGTTTTTAAAGTTGTTTTTGTAATTGTGATATATGATATTTTAATGAGTGTATATGTTTTTATGGCTGGAAACCGGGCTGAGTCCCTCAATGAGGTTGAGAAGCTCGGTATAGAAAACTGTGAAATAAATAAATATATTATTTATCTATACAGCCTGAACAGCAGCTGAGACTGAAAAATGTAGACTAAAGCAGACATGATGTGAGAGATCCCTGCACATCACAAATAGACTGCCATATATTAGGGATGTAATAGATGCTAAAGATAAGTACAGAAAGAACAAAGTAAACTGTATAGGAATAAAAAGACATAGGATGGGTTCCCTGGCTGGAGTATGATTTTACCTTCTGAAATGAATTGCAATCATCCAAGGTATGAAGGATCAAAACGGAGAAGTGTTCACAGAACTGGATTTGATCCGTTCAATCTGGACTAAGAAAAACAGAATGCATATCATCCCAATACTCAGTCTTGTTGACTGGGACTGGAGGATTCTGGGAACTATAACCAAAAAAGTAACATCTCTGAACTCTGGAGTGAAAATATTAATATCATAAAATTGATATATACTAAGAAAGAGACTGAGGGAAAATGATACAGATCATGAGTTGGGTTGCCAACTTGAATATGTCTTCTGTGTCTTTAATGATTGTGAGGAGAGGAGAATATTAGAAGGCACTACTTATCACACAAGTTAACATAAAATACCTGCTGAAATTCCTCCTTCTTATGCAACTGTTAAAAGTACAGAGTCCTGCTAGCTTTCTTCCTGGCAATCCTAAAAGAGATATTTATTTGGAGATATGTTTTTCAGAGAGAGATGTCCAACACTTGACATAGTCATTTTATTAATATATTCTATTAATTTATTAAGTACTGCTTGATGTTGTAGAAGTCCCTTGCATGATTTGAGACTGTTAATCATTTTCTGTATGTTCAATAAGTTTAATTTAAAAACGCAAAACACAATACACTATCCAAAATGCTGCAGAAGAAAAAAACCGAAGACAGCACCGAAAAATGAGAAGAGACCTTGTGTTAGTGACAAGTCAGAGAGAACAATTTGTGTTAGAGCTGCAGGTAACATTTCATTGTGAAGCCTATTCCTATCTTCCTTTCTAATCTACAATAAATAAAAGGAGATCATTGAAGTTATGAGAGTGAAAGAAATACCAAAGGAAAAAGAAAACACACTGCAAAATATATTAGAAAGTACTGAAATCCCCAGACTGTTAGCATCCTGATTCAGTCTATGCCAGAACTATGAGGAAATAGCTGATGAAAGTTTGCCAACCATTGCCAAGGTACAATGTTGACAAGGTACATACACGGTAACTACAGTAACCAAAGCCCGGCTTTACCAGGAACTAGACTAATATTAAATTACCAGGATGTGATTGCTGGATAAAGGCATACAAAGCCATGTGCTTATAATAGCAGTGGATTTATAGCCCACATTGTATTGGGAAGAGCAGTATATTTGTTCAAAAAAGGAGAACGGATGCCCTTCCCTATCTGGCAATCGCAGTGCTGTCTTCCTATCCCTCAATTATCCATTTTTAAGGTACTGTTGTAGCCTGCAAAGAACTGTGCTTCTCTAGAAAGGCAAGTACTGGCATGAAACATTAACAAAAGATAGAAGATTGAGTCAGAAATAAGTATGATGGGACGAAACATGCTTAATACAGACTGTTCAAAGCTGGATATGGCTAGAAATAGCGTTTTCACCCATTAGACGAAAATACTGTTCCCACTGTTGCTGCAAGTGACTTTAAATTGTTCATTATGTTACAAGCATCCCTTTTTCTGGATTTAAAAATAATAATATTCACATGAACAGTGCAAGAGAGAATCCAAGAGATGATTCAACCCCACAACCAGGAAGGAAAGCTGATTGTGAACTCTAAATTACACAGTAATACTTGGATGAGAGACCGCCAATGAATATCAGATGCTGTAGGCTGTTTTTAGAGGCAGGAATTAGCAAAACCACCTCTGAGTATTCCTTGATTAAGAAAACCTAATGAAATTCATGAGGTAGTTACAGTGTTCCCTCACTTATCACAAGGGTTCCATTCCAGGACCACCCGTGATAAGTGAAAATCCGCGAAGTAGGGATGCCATATTAATATTTATACATTATTTTATATATATTATATATTATTTTCTTACCCACGCTTCCTTACCTGCCTCCCGACCCATCCCAAGGGCGCCTTCCTAGCCTCCCTGGCCTCCACAGACCCCAGCAGAGCCTCCGGAGACACACAGGCAGCAGCAGGCCAAGGAGGAAGGCCTTCCCCACTGCAACTCAGGCTTCCGCACTTCCAGGGTCTGTGGAGGCCAGGGAGGTAGGCCTTCCTCGCCACGCATGGGGCCACCGCACTTCTGGTGTCCCTAGCCTCCACTGGACGTAAATATTTTATATTTTATATTAATATTTTCAAAAACCCGCAAAACAGCGAGTCCGCTGTAAGCGAACCACGAAGCAGCGAGGGAAAACTGTATAAATCAACAGGTGACTTTGAACGCGCACACACAGAAGTCACTCTGATTCACATATTTTCCTGACTTGCTAGGATTGAAGAAGATTTGCAGGTTCAGTTGCTATGAAAATGTAAGCCTTAAATTTAGTTTTGAAATAACATGCAAAGCACTAATAATTAGAAATTTACAAAGCATTGTACCTGAACACTAAATAAAAAAAGCTATTTGCATTTCCTGAAGAACAAAGTATCAGGAGGAATAGTTCTGGAGGGCTTTGGGCAAAACTATATATTAAAAAAGTAGAGTTGATTAAAAGAACAGAGGCACACTGACTCATATGTTCAGGAACATGAGTTCAGTTTCCATGTAGTAAAGTCAAAATGTATTTAAAGTCCCAGCACCTACCTCTGGGTTTAAGAAAGAAAACACAAAGAAAAATGACCTATCATTACCACCATGTGTTTTTTCCTATTTTAGTAAAGTGGCACAACTAGCTGCATGTAAAGTATTACAATTCTTTTCTTATTGTAGTTCTTTTCTTATGTTATATATGCAAAACACAGACCAAATCATAAGCATATATATTCCAAACATACTGTAAACATAAATATTAATACTGTATTTCCTAGATTGTAACACAACTTTTCCCCATAGAAACATCTCTAAAAGCAGGGTGCATCTTAGAGTCGCAGGTTCCCTCTGTCTCCTTTTTCTCTCTGTATATGTGTGTTTGTGTGAATGTAAATGGATGTATATGCCTTTTTTCCTATTGGTGGTACTGAAACTATGTGTCTTACAATCAGTGAGGTCTTAGGGTTGATGAAATATTGATATTAGAATAGAAACTCTTACAAATACTCTTGTTTGCAAGTAATTTCTATAATTTGGAAAAGTTCCTTTTTGATTTGCAACTCACAACATTGTCCAACGAACATTGCTGTAAGCCCATATTATTTAAGTTTTGGTAAAGCAGTATTTGTCAATTGTTGCCCATCTGAAGTGGTGGTAAAAAGTCTGAATACACAAGATTTTTCAGCACAGCTGCCCAGGTGCGCTTGTTCAGATGGCAGAAGATGGTCGTGCTTATTGGGGGACTTTGGGATGTTGTCCAAAAAGTTCACACTTCTAACCTCTGCCTAGAAAAGAGTTCAAAACATAACCAAAAGGTCTCCTTTTTCTTCCCAGGAAGTATGCTTTCACAGCAAAAAGGAAAAGGAAGCTGTTCACCATCCCATCAAAGAAACAGGTGCATCAGGGCAGTACAAAGATGTGACTCACTTTACATCTAGGCAGCATAAGCAGGTAAGATAATAAGAGCAAAATTGGGTTTACCAGCCTTTCCTCTCCAGATCTGTTGGCCCCATCATCTCAAGCCACCATATAATCCCTAGTCAACATAAGTAGTGATCAACTAGGGATGAAACCTGCTCATTCAGGAGCTGTGCTGCCATCTATGTTAGAACTTTAAAGACACTAACTCTGTTTGTTTTTACATGATGATGGAATAACAATCAAATCAAGCAATGGCTCCAAATAATTATAACACACCTCCATACCAGTGTGCTGTTCAGAACACATTTTAAACCAAAATAAATACAAATTGTGCAATCCTGTCATCTGTGCTCCCCTCCAGCGAATGTGCAATGTAGGGTAGAGATACATATTTGTTAAAATGCTGAGAATCTTGCCAAATATGGATTAAAGATAAGTTTTAAAAGAGTCTTATTTCTTGCCTAGAGCTGTATATGCTGTAACAATCCCTGTACTATTACCATCAGAGATGAGGAAAATGTGGCCAGTGGACTATATGTGTCACCCAAGGCATTTTTGAGGTTATGCTATGCCCTAGTGCTGCCCAGATATAATAGTATATGTGGAAAAATGACATTTTGCTGGAAATATATTCATGGGTACCTGTGTTGACCATGCAGAAAAATACTACAAAATCCGCAAATAGTGATATCTTTACTCACCACCCAAAATGCACAAAATACATAATGCCAGGTTTCGAGCTTCGCTGGCTTCTTCATTAGACAAAGATGTTTAAACCACAATGACAAAATGACAATTTTAGTCACAGGCCTATTTGTCTTCTTGACCACGTGAGTCAAATGTTGTTGCTGTGTACCTTTAGGTCAGTGTTTCTCAACCTTCCTAATGCCGCAACCCCTTAATACACTTCCTCGTTTTTTGGTGACCCTCAACCATAAAATTGTTTTCGTTGCTACTTCAGAACTGTAATTTTGCAACTGTTATGAATTGTAATGTAAATATCTGATATGCAGGATGTATTTTCATTCACTGGACCAAACTTAGTACAAACACCCAATACGCCCAAATTTGAATACTGGTGGAGTTGGGGGGAGATTGATTTTGTCATTTGGGGGTTGTAGTTGCTGAGATTTATAGTTAACCTACAATCAAAGAGCATTCTGAACTCCACCAACGGTAGAATTTGGTTCAATTCCATCTTAGCACACAGAATTCCCATGATCAACAGAAAATACTGGAAGGATTTGGTGGACATTGACCTTGAGTTTTGGAGTTGTAGCCTACATCCAGAGAGCATTAAGGACTCAAACAATGATGGATCTGGACCAAACTTGGCATGAATACTCAATATGCCCATGTGAATACTGGTGAAGTTTGGGGAAAATAGACCTTGACATTGAAGTTGTAGTTGCTGGGATTTATAGTTCACCTACACTCAAAAAGCATTCTGAACTCCACCAAGGATGGAATTGAACCAACCTTGGCACACAAACCCTCATGACCAACAGAAAATACTGTGTTTTCAATGGTCTTTGGTGATCCCTCTGACACCCCCTCGCGACCCTCTCTCAGAGGTCCTGACCCCCAGGTTGAGAAATGCTGCTTTAGAATTTTTCCAACTTATAGTAATCCTAAGGCAAACCCATCAAGTGGTTTTCTTGGCAAGATTTCTACAGAGGTGGTTTCCCGTCACCTCCCTCTGAAGTTGAAAGAGTGACTTGCCTGAGGTTAGCTTGTGAATTTCCATGGCTGAGTGCATATTTGAATCCTGATATCCAGAGTTCAATTCCGATGCTCAAAGCACTGCACCACACTGGTGCTACAAAGAACAATTAAATACAAGTAATAAAATGTCAGCTCCATTAGTAAAGAAAAATAACTTGACTTCAGATGCAGGCTGTCCTTGTCCTGTATGTAGCTAACAGCCTCTTTCTAAGGCAGGTTCCCCTGACATTAAGTCCAGTCGTGTCCGACTCTGGGGGTTGGTGCTCATCTCCATTTCTAAGACGAAGAGCCGGCATTGTCCATAGACACCGCCAAGGTCATGGGGCTGCCATGACTGCATGGAGCACCATTATTTTCCCGCCAGAAGAGTACCTATTGATCATTTGCATGTTTTCGAACTGCTAAGTTGGCAAAATCTGGGGCTAACAGCGGGAGCTCATCCCACTCCCTAGATTTGAACCTGTGACCTTTCAGTCAGCAAGTTCAGCAGCTCAGTGGTTTATCCCACTGTGCCAATGGGGGCTCCTAAGGATACACATAGGCATATAATATTATTTTAGTTTTTCCAAGAGATAAGTGCTGGACTATTTAAAATTTAATTTGTCAAGATATACTGTCACTTCTTGAGGGGTGGGGATTAAGTCCTATTTTTATAAAACTTCCTGAGTTTTGTGGTATAATAATAATGAATCTTTATTTGTACCCCACCACCATCTCCCGAAAGGGACTCGGGTGGCTCACAGAAGCACTCCAGGTGCCACATACAGACAACAACACATAAGTATAAATATAATAACGTAAGTGCAATCAACAGCGCATAAAAATCTCACCAATAAAATTATAAAAATATAAAGTTATAAAATTCCTAAAATGCAGTAGAACCTGTGGGTTAGCCAGCTATCTGTCGTAACAATGAAAGTGCAGGCCAGTACTATCAATGATTCATTACGTTGACCATGGATTACTCAGGATCAAAGGCCCGTCTGAAGAGCTATATTTTTAGACTCACCGGAAGGCCTGAAGGGAGGGGGCTAATCTAATTTTTTTAGGGAGCCACCACCGAAATGGCCCTCTCTCTCGTTCCCACCAACTATACTTGAGGCGGTGGTGGGACTGAGAAAAGGGCCTCCCCAACAGATCTTAATATCACTATATTGTGGAATTTGTATTGTTTTCCTGAATTGCCAATATGACAGACCCTGAATATGTTTCCTGGATTTGAAAATATCAAATTTTGCTGCTACAAATTTTAACAAGAGGAAGTTAATAGATTGGAAGATTCTAGCCTCTGACAGTGGGAAAATTATTTCATTTGGACAATTGACTACTGAATTACGCTTGTGAACTACTGTTCTGGCTGGTATTTTGGATACGGAAATATCCCTTGAGTAACAGATGGTGGAAGAAATCCTCTAGATTGCCACAAACTACAGTATATCATATCTATGGGTTGGAGTGTTTGCTACACCATGTGTACACAACAGCACTTCCTGTAAAGAAAGGGGAAGAAGCTGAATTCCATAAAACAATGCCAGCTATGTATATGAGTCATGTGGTAACATCCAGGAGGAAAATAAATAGAGCACACACACACATACGTATCCTTTAAAACAAACTCAGCTTGACTTGCTTGTAACATGTGTAGCAAGAAAGCAGTGACATACCTATCTGTAGTGAGTTACACTGACCTTTTGTGCTGGCTAAAATGCTGGGAAGAAACCTTCAGGGACAGTATGAAATGTTACATTTTGTAAAAGGAAATTGGAAAATATTTTCAGAGCTACAAACAAGGACGTTGGATGATCTACAGGGCATTCGTTGTTTTTCAGTGAGCAGCAGCTATTATATAGCCTGGCTTTCTTCAAAGGACAGCTGTGTTACACCAATCTTTCTGACAAATGTTGCACTCTTATATATTGACAAAAGCCAACACATTTCACTTTATAATGGTTTCTGCCATTCACCTGAATGCCTCCCTCACTCCAATCTTGATAGTACCAGCATCAGAGAACTGACATGAAAAAAAATGTTAAAAGACAAAAATAAACGTAATATGCTAGAGCAGGGGAAGGAAATGAGAGCTTCAGAAATGCATGGCTTTTACACCAGAAGGTGAAGGGAATCCATAGTCCCCCAGATGTTGGTGGACGACAACAATCTGTAGCCCTACCCATTGTGACCAGTTGGAGGTAAGATGAGAATTACAGTACATGTGGAGAATTGCATGCTCCTTACCCTTGTTCTAAATGGCAAATGAACCAAGATGGACATATATAGATTAAACCATTATGGGATGGCAAAACTCAATGATGAGATGGCATTATACAATTTTCAGTACTGCCACTCCTGTTCATAATTGAGTTTTACAGAATGGAGAATTATGGAAAAACCTTATAAATGACAGAAGAACCAGGGTTGTTTTTTTATATATATATATATAAAAGTTTTATCACTTACAAAATTATTAAAGCCACCGGAATTCTAATAAGTGAAAAATTCCCTACCTCTTGTATAAGCTTTAGAATTAAATATTTCACGTGTGTGTGTGTGTGCGTGTGTCAGGAGCGACTTGAGAAACTGCAAGTCGCTTATGGTGTGAGAGAATTTTCCATCTGCAAGGACGTTGCCCAGGGGATGCCCGGATGTTTTTATGTTTTACCATCCTTGTGGGAGGCTTCTCTCATGTCCCCGCATGGGTAGCTGGAGCTGACAGAGGGAGCTCATCCACCTCTCCCCGGATTCGAACCTGCAACCTGTCGGTCTTCAGTCCTGCCAGCAGAAGGGTTTAACCCGTTGTGCCACTGAGGGCTTCATCTTTCACTGTTAAACTGATAGGAAAAGTTGGGAGCCCAAACACAGCTCTGTTTCTTTTGCATTTTCCCTTTGTAACCCTTCTATACTTCCTATTTATCCAATACAAATCTGCTGTCTGTTAATCCTCCAGTTCTACCTGAAGAGGTGGTATTAAGGAGCTGCAATATCTCAAAGGACCTCATGTTGCCTTCATGAAATTCATGATGCAATATCCCTTGCAAGCTCAGTTTACTCTGTAAACCCAAAATATTAGAAGTGTGTACATGGGGAGGGGGGGGGGAGAGAGATCCTTTCTGCTTACTTCTCAGAATGCACAGTGTGCCAAATACACACTGTCCTGGTTACATTACAAAACAAAAGTCAAGGTGAGCTGTCAAAACCATGTGAGACTCAGCATTTTTGGACAATCTTTGCCAATCTTCGATCAGAGCTTTCAGCCTCAAGTGTCATGTAAAGACAACATAGTTCTGAAGTACATATCATGAGGCTTTCCAGAAATCCCAATAACTGTAAGACAGCAGTGTTGATGGTGGAGGATGCTGAGAACTGCACTCCAACCACAATTGGAGTTTGCACAATTCCAACCCTTGGCCTACAGAGCACCAAGAGCTGCCTAACTGTATTCTCAATGAAGATAAATTATTTAATACAGAGATGGGGAAGCTTTTGACTCTCTAGATTTTGGTGGGACTTCAATTTCCAGGATCACAAGCAAACACACCCAATATCAAAAGATTGTATGAGGATCAGGCGAAAAAATTTGAAGGGCAAAGGTTCTCCAACTCTGATTATGCGACTTCCCTGCATAAATTGTTTACTGTTTCTTAGGGATGAATTAAGCCAGCAACTGATTTAACTGGTAGCTGGCACATAAACGACCTACCAAGTCTAATGTCTGTTTTTGCAATTAATATAATGTAAACTCGCAAACTGATAAGAATCCAAAGGTTTCTTCCACATTCCAACATAGCATTGTAGACAAGCACTCCCAAACACAGGAGCATCTGCCTATTAAATACTATGCATCTGTGATAAAAGAATATTTGATTTAAAGAGACATTGCACCACACCTGGAAGGGATGCACTTCAATTTTGTTGCTTTAAAGACTAATTAATATTACATATTAATATTAGAACAGCAATGGAAAATTGTATGGACAACCAGGCATGCAAGTTAGCACCAGACTTCTTTAATTGCAGAGAACTCCTGACTGTAGACAAGAATTTCACTTAGAGATTAAAGCGTCTTCAGCCTCAAGGAAACACTGGAAAGAAATTTCCCATTTTCTAACTCAAACTGAAACCTCTTTAATTATACAAATAACAATGTCCCTACACACTGCAGATTCTCTAAGCTCGCTGATGATAGGAACTTTATCAAATACTTCCAGGGAGCTGATCTTATTATTACTGATCTGTTTTGTATTCCATTCTTCCTCATAAGAGTCTAAACACATTGAAAAACACAGCTGAAAATGACATCTAAGAAAATGCAACAACAACAATGATAATTATAATAGTACACTTTATTTATATTCCGTTTTATCTTCCCGGAAGAACTCAGAGCAGATTACAATACACATATGAGGCAAACATTCAGTGCCTTTCACACAACACAGATAAAGGTAAAGGCCTTCCCTTTTTTTTCCATCTCTGGCGTCTGGAGGCAACGCTCAACTCTGGCTGTGGGGAGATGCTTTTGTTCCATTTTTCCATGCTGAGGAGTCAGTTGTTCATAGACATCTCTGATTGTGTTGCCGGCATATCTGCATGGGGTGCCCCTTTACCTTCCCGCCAAGGCAGTACCTATTGATCTACTCACATTGCATGCTTTCAAACTGCTAGGTTGGCAGAAGCTAGGGTTGACTGTCAGGAACTCACTCCGACTTGCAGCTTCAAACTGCCAGCTTCCAGTCAGCAGCTTTCCTGTAGCTAACAGTTTAAACCACTGTGCTACCGCGGCCCCAATAAACCAACAATCCAATAAAGAGAAATTCGGAATGACGAAGATGTATCTTGGAGTACATACATTGTTATATTATTCCACTTACTTTCTAGGACAGGCGTGGTTGGAGTCTGGATATTCAAGATGGGCATAAAGTCCAACAAGACCTTGGAGAAGCAAGCACACCATCTATGTTCCGGAGACACACTGATCCAGCACAACAGTCACAGGTATTGCATGGATCTGATATTCTTTTGGGTGGGAGATAGAGTCAGGAAAGATTTGTTCAAAGATTCAGAAACAAATATATTCTGCATATTTCACTTGGAAACAAAAGGGATGCTATGCAAAATGTATGTTGCTCATCAGGAATGGGGTTTTAAGATCTCTAGTGGAAAAGGAATAATTATCCAGTTTTGAAGATGTCACTGTGACACAGTTCCAATTTAATAGTTTATGCAGTGCCCCTGGATTATGCCAGAAGGACTGCTGAGAAACCATCTTTCTTGCCTTGAGGGGACTGAAGCAGACTTGACTTGCCGAAGTGTCAGCATCTTGCTCTCCATGGTGGCCCTTCCTTCTCCCATCTGCCACCAGAAAGGCAGCTGGGGATGATCTCACTTGCCTGGAGGGGACGGAAGAAGGATGGATGTTCAAAAAGCAACAAAAGAGACAACATGAGAAAGATTAGGGGAAACAATAAAGAACACACCCACAAGAAGACTGGAATGCAAACCTGAATACAGTCGCTTTCAGAACTGAGTTCAATTGCTGCATTACATACACATCAAATCCCATCTCACGTGTCTCATGTTTTCTAGATCAATACTATCCATGAACCAGCCTACAGCGAGTTTCCATAAAAGAAACAGTTGTAGCTAATGGGCACAAAAATTGTATCTATCTCCATCACATTTGAGGGTAAAAAATGCTTGTCCTCCACATCAGATAACCCAAGAATCACTATGCTAGGAGGCAGGGCTTGTCAGTATTGATTTCTGTAAACAGCTTGAGCGGCCTTTTTGGTTAAATAATGGAGTACAAATTACTTTTTTTCAAATGTACTCACAGTTGACAGTAATAAGGTAACAAACTGAGAAAGGGGCTAACACAAAAATGTCAGGGGAACGTAGTATACATTTCTCAAGCATCCGATATTTAGTTTCTGGGTATATTTATAAAGCTTGGAGGTGGACATGCAAGGAGAATGCAATTATTGGGGGGGGGGCATTTTTATTGTGCAGTTAAGTTGACCTGTAATGTTCATTAGTAGCTTATTAAGAGCATTTTATATTATGAGATCTGTAAAGTTTGCAGCTGCAGTTTGACACTTCCCTCTGTCTTCCCTGGCATTAGCGAACGCGATGGGTCCGTGCCTTGTATGACTTTGAGGCAGCGGAGTGTGATGAGCTCGGGTTCTGCACAGGGGACGTGATAGAAGTCCTGGACAGCTCTGACGCCTCTTGGTGGAAAGGATCTTTACGTGGACAACTCGGTCTGTTTCCTGCAAACTATGTAGGTCCTGTGATCCGGTGAATTCTTGAACAAGGATACATTTTATCATCAGCAGAAGAAATCTCCCTGTCCCCATGTAACTGACATAGTTTTTCACAATCATAACATTAGCTATTAGTAGTTATGTTCAACTATACTGTCTTTTCTCCCAAAAGTAAATCAGAGGAAATTATTTCTGCCTATTTCAGAAATGAGCTGTACACATTTCCAATCGGCTTGGACCAATGGTGGCACAAAAACTCTTCTTGCAGCAGCTAACTTTAAGACTGAGTGAGGTGTTTTTATTTTTTAAAGGAGTTAAGCATATATTTAGTTTTTACTGTATACATATAGCACTTTAATTTTAGTTTTATTGATTTCAAAAGCCATTTAGATATCCTTGAAACACCATCTGAGAGGCCAGGCAAATCACAGAATCAGTGTTCAGATTATCTCTCAGCACACCCACTATTTGCATTGCAAAACGTAGGAGGAAGTTGACCTCATGCAGCCAGAGGAAAATGAAATATGTTTTTGGTTTGTTTTGGTTTTTTGTATGTCCTGATTCCTGACTATTGTGACATTGTAGATTTTCCTGTCTTTTGAGAAATGAGCTTTATACAACTTTGAGTAGCAAATCAGTAGGATCCATGTGAACATGGTGTATGTTCATACTGCAAATATATCTTAGTTTTGTTTAATAATATTTTGTGGTAATCACCCATTCCCAAAGAATACTGGCAAGTGATAAGGATACTACAGTGTTGAAGGTTGTAGAGAGGAAGGGCTTATTATGGTGCCTATATTCTCTTCCTAAACTGGAACAAGCTAATATAACACCAGAAATGTGAGTGCTTTCGTGCACTAGGTTTAAAACTGCTGGCAAATGTTTTAGTGTTATGTGTTTATTATTTGTGGGAGTATGCATATAACTCTTTTAGGCTGCAAATACATGTCATAATGGGAAATGGTTGAAGAATGTGAGTGATCCTATGCAAACACTCTACTTGAACACTTTTAAAGTATGCTCAAGATACCCTTGCTTTCTCATTGTCTTTAGCTTTGCTTGCTAAGTGATGACAATTGAAGTACACCTCAAATCTGTCATTCTTGATTTTTGTTATGGTGACAACCCATGTGCCTGTGACCAATAAGAATTGTTGTGTAATATTAATTTTAGTTATTAAATTTGCCCTAGAATGATCTACTCTGTAATCCTGAGAATGTATCGAGTTGTGCTCATTGAAAAAGAATATGTTTTGTCTTTGTTGTTTTAAATCAAGATAGATATTTAGCATTCTTAAAACAAAAGAGCAAACAATGAAAAGAAATGGTCATAAAGACAGTATGAAAATAAAAATGACTAAAAGTAATAATCTTAATTGGGTATTGTTATTATCTATAAAATTGTGTTGTTCGATCATTCAGCATGGAATTAAACTCAGAACCATAGAATAATAGAGTTGGAAGAGACAACATGGACCATTCTAGACCAATCCCCTGCTGTGCAGGAAAAGCACAATCAAGGTACCCTGAAAGATGCCCATTCAGCCTCTGTTTAAAAGTTTCCAAAGAAGGAGCTTCCACCACATTCCAAGGCAGAGAGTTCCACTGCTGAATAGCTTTTACAGCCATGAAATTCTTCCTAATGTTCAAGTGGAATCTCCTTTCCTGTAATTTGAACTTATTGTTCCGAGTCTTAGTTTCCAGGGCAGCAGAAAACAAGCTTGCTTCCTTTTCCTTATGGCATCCTTTCACATATTTATACATGGCTATCATGTCTCCTCTCAACCTTCTCTTCTGCAGGCTAAACATGCCCAGTTCTTTAAGATGATCCTCATAGGGCATGGTCTCCAGACCTGTGATCATTCTAGTTGTCCTCTTTTGGACACCTCCCAGCTTGTCAATATCTCTCTTGAATTGTGGTGCCCAGAACTGGACTCAGTACTCCAGGTGAGATCTAACCAAAGTAGAATACTCCTTTTGAATACTATACTCCTTTTGATGCAGACCAAAAACGCCATTGGCTTTTTTGACTGCTGCATCACACTGTTGGCTTATGTTCAACTTGTTGTCCACTAAGACTCCAATATCTTTTTCACATGTACTGTTATTGAGCCAGGCATCACCCATCTTCTATTTTAGCATTTCATTTCTTTCTGCCTAAGTGTAGCATCTTACATTTGTCCTCATTGAAATTCTTTCTTTTTTTTTAGTTTTGGCCCAGCTTTCTAATCTGTTACAGTCATTTTGAATTCTGATCCTGTTCTCTGGAGTATTAGTTATCCCTCCTAATTTGGTGTCATCTGCAAACTTGATAAACATGCCCTCTAAACCTTAATCCAAGTCATTTATATATATTGAACAGTACTGGGCCCAGGACTGAACCCTGCAGCACTCCACTAGTCACTTCTTTCCAGGATGAAGAGGAAGCATTGCTGAGCCCCCTTGGTGCAAATCAACCAAGAAAATAGTTTTGACATATAATCGTACTCCATCCCCAAATTTAAATAGATGGTTTTCAGAAAATGCCACTGAAGCTTGTACACACACAATTATTAAATTTCTAATGCTGCTTGTCCTTTAACAAATGTGAAAAAGGAATATGTTTGAAGGAAAGACTGACTTCCCGCACACATTCAATTTAGCTAACGAATAGGGATGCTTCCAGATAGAAAATTCCAAAAGCACCAAGAAACTCCAATGCTTCTCCTTTTTAGAGAAATTTATGGTAAGAAAAAGAAGACAGAAGCAGCAGGGAAACATGGGATATTTACAAAAGCAGAACAATGGCATTTGAACAACAACTCTCTAAAACTCTGTGACTGAAATAGGATCATTGTATAATTAAAGTGCTGCCTATTATACCACCTTCAGTCATGGAAAGGAACTAAATGTGGAATTGGTTACAAAGCTTCCACCAAAAATTGAAATAACTCTACGTGTACAGCTATATACAAGTAGGATTTTTTCATATACCATATATACTCATGTACGACATGAGTATATAAGGCCCAGCTTACTTGTCCAAACGCATCTCCCTCTACGTTCTGCCTCGTAGTCTAAGATCCACCGGGGAAGCCCTGCTCTCGGTCCCACCAGCTTCACAAACACGGCTGGTGGGGACGAGGGACAGAACCTTCTCGGCAGTGACCCCCTGCTTGTGGTATTCGCTTCCTGGCGTCCTCCCTCCTTTCTTTCAGGAAAAAACTGAAGACGTGGTTGTGTAACCAGGCTTTTGGCTAGTGGACATAATGGCACCTGAACATGGAATTGGACCATACAATTGTTGCAATGGAAATGGCTTTACGATTGTATAACTAATGTTTGTTTTAGTCTATTGTATTGTATGATTTTATTTTGTTATTATAATTGTAATTATTGTAGCATCGAATTGTTGCCATTGTTACCTGCGGGGGTGAGGAGAGTGGGGTAGAAATGCTGTAAATAAATAAATAAATAAATGTATAAGTCTAGCTATGTTAGTCAAAACAACCAACCAAGAAAATCTAGGCCAACTTACCCACAGGTCAATGACAGATCTATACCCTCCTATTGAAAAAAATAACCATCCCTTTCTTTGAGTAGAGTGGCAAAAGGTTTAGTCTATTTTGGGAGAATCTAAATGTGCCAAGCCCCTTTATTCTCTCTGCTATGCAATACTGCCACGTCCATCTTTTTTTAATGCCTTGATAGAAACTGGTGAGAGCCAAGGGTGGCTGACCCCTTGAGACAACACCAGCACTTTCCCCTCCTCAGCTTCCCTATGGGCCACATCAAAATTTACCATTTTGATCCCAAAACATCTCCTCGGCTTATACATAAGGTCGACTTATACCTGCGTATATATGGTGATTAGGAACCCTGATCAGTTAGGGTTCTCAGTGATAGAGAGAAGTCATATTTAACAGAAATTCAGAATATGTATCTTCAGAAACTTTACTGATGCTATATTTTTATATAGAAAATGTCTCACATCACACACGTATTCATCTATACTTAACTGGGATGTTTACTGTAATCAGTCATGGTAGATGGACTAAATATTGAGTATGGATGTCTAGTTATTCTTCTAATGAGATAAGCACTGACAAACCAAAGTCCTCAGAGCACCCGACTGGCAAATAAATGCACTGCTATAATTGTTTTCATTTTGCATAAAATCTTCCTTTTTTCCTTCATTTGCAAGCACAATCAAGACAAATGTGATTACTGACCATCACCCATACAAACACATCCATTGGTAAAACAGAATAGTTAAACAGTTGCATTGAACCAGATTAAATGGAACTAAGTCATGTAGAGAGTAATGTAATGGTTATCCTGCAATTATACCACAACAAAAGAAACGTGATGTAAGATATATCTCGACCATATCTTTATGTATGCTCTTTTCAGGTACAGCCTTTTTATCAGTTATATATAAATGAAGCATATGCTATTTTCTTTACATTATTACAAAGATTCCAATAAAATAGTTCCTGCATAAAAGTTTGGATGTGTTTGAATATAACATTTAAACCAAATGTAGTAAATCAGATAACATTATTTAAAGAAATTGAAAGTTTTCCAGCTTTTCCCAGAAAACTTACATAACTGATATGTTCAAAGAGTTTCCTGCATAACAATGCCCAATGTGTATTGTGATGTGTGTACCCAGCAAGTATATTGTTGGCAAGTGCTTACCCTCACACATTCATCAAAACCCAAAAGGTATCACATATATAACTGTCATCATTATTAAACTCTAGGTGGAGGTAAAAGTTTTCCCCTGACAGTAAGCCCAGTCATGTCCAACTATGGGGCTGGTGCTCATCTCCATTTGTAAACTCAAGAGCCAGCGTTGTCCATAGACACGTCCAAGGTCATGTGGTTGGCATGACTGCAAAGAGCGCCATTACCTTCCCACTGGAGCGGCACCTATTGATCTACTCACATTTGCATGTTTTCGAACTGCTAAGTAGCTAAAAGCTGGGGCTAACAGTGGGAGCTCACCCCACTCCCCAGATTTGAACTGATGACCTTTCGGTCAGCAAGTTCAGCAGCTCAGCGGTTTAACCCACTGCACCATCGGGGGCTTCTCTCTATATGTACTTTTAGTAAATGTCCCAAGTCAGCCTTCTTGATATCACACTTCTACATATTTCCAATTATATTGGAGGTGGGTATTGATTAATATACTGAAACCAAACCTCACCTTCCATTCTTAAAAAAAACTCTTATTTTATTATTCTTGAAGATAATGAATCTAACTCTCTATTGTTTTAATTAATATTTCCTGTATGCTGTTCCCCTACCCTTCAATTGTTGTTGTTGTTTATTCTTTCAGTCACTTCCGAATCTTCATGACCTCATGGACCAGCCCACACCAGAGCTCCCTGTTGGCCAAGCCAGTCACTTGGCATCTATCCATCTTGCCCTTGGTTTGCCCCTCTTCCTTTTTCCTTCCTTTTTCCCCAGCATGGTTATCTTCTCCAAGCTTTCCTGTCTTCTCATTATGTGGCTGAAGTACTTCATTTTTGCCTCTAATATCCTTCCCTCCAGTGAGCAGTCGGGCATTATTTCCTGGAGTATGGACTGGTTTGACCTTCTTGCGGTCCAAGGCACTCTCAGAATTTTCCTCCAATGATTCTCCTTCAATTTTTACCTAACACTTAAAAATAAATGATCTAGAATTTCTAAGTGTACAGTCGAAAAAAGTCAAAATATGTTGACATTGTTTCA